CATGCTAGCTAAAAAGACATGTTATATTGATTTTTTGAAATAGAGGTAATGTTTACAATTCTATTGGTCATTTAAACTTAATTTGATATGTAATTTTCTTTGCCTCAGCAGATGTATCATTTTGCACAATTTATCTTCATTTCATTAACGTGGTCTAATTCTGCCTTTGTAACATTTACTACGTATTTCTCTATTATGTAGAGCTGCTAATTAAATGGATGAGCTGTGTTCGTATGAAAACGTGAATGTTCCCCTAACTGTCCGTATATAAATACCTCAGATGTGTACGCGCTTACATGTACCCACAACTCGTTGCCGTAAATAAGTACATACTAGTCTGACCAGTGTCTGAAACAGCGAGATTAAAGCGCGGCGGTCGTCGCGCAGCACGTGTTCGAATTTCATGTTAATAAACAATGTATTTTACACGCGTTGTATACGTTGCTATGAGTCCCATATCGAACAGGACGTGGCACGACGACTGCCGCCCAATAACCTTTTTTTGGTTAGATTTGATTGGATATGTTAGCAATTTGCAATCAATAAACGCTCTTAGTGGTATAATTTAAAGCCTTCTCGGTAATGTTTGTTGAAAACAAAACTTGAAAACTTGAAAAACCCCGGGGTGTTTCATTTTTAATGGTAAGTTGTTTGATTCTGTATGTTGATACAATTGATTGTGATTTTCTGATTAAGATTTACCATAAACTAAACACGTTTTTTTTTTGTAGTACACAAATGATAAAGCAACGATATACTTTAATACTATGCGCAGATTCATTTATGGTACATACCGATAATATTACCACGCATGCGTATTAGCTTTCCTAGAACGAATGTTCTATAGAATCCTACAAAATCAACATCTTCTTTAGTTTATGATAAATCCTCGTGTAGTATCATACAACAATACTGAAAAAAAAATGTTTCGTTCATAAACTACAAACGATAAGTAGTGTTCAAGTTGAATGCTTTCGGTTGGCAAACAAACAGCATTTACGGTATCCCATTGACAGTTTTCGGACAAGTCGTCTTCCATGGGTGATAGCTACTCTGATTATTACCATGATACGCGTATGATATTTTTTTTTTTTGATTTGGCAAAAAATATTTACATCAAACAGTGACAACTTGAAAGACACGTTATTGGCGTCGTCACAGAGCCCAAGTCTCAGGTCAATACAAAACGAACTAATAATTGTTCAAAATACACAGTCGCTTTTATGAGACACAATAGCGGACCAACTTGAAAAAGTCCTCTCTACAACTATTTTTCAAATATTCTTCCCCACTGCAAACACATTATCTCGAGCTCTGAAATTATACTGATTTGTTGAACGATTCAAATGCATTGTGGGAAATAGATAATATGATATCATTTTCATTGCCAGTCATTGTGTGTAAAATAGTATTACACCCACTGCCCATATTCAACTCACAGAGAACGTCAAGTTTATAATCGTATTTAAAATAATATTGGAAACATTTAAACAAAACTCACATTCAGAATGGCTAATTTGTCGCGTATTCATATTTATACAAACGTGTACAAATAAAATACATCATACAAAAGGTACCCCTAACTTACGTAAAGTTGTTGCATACGACAAGGCGATTAACACGTAACGTAAGTTCTAGGGTATGACACAACATACCAAAACTGACCCGCATTCACTTCCAAATTTTGGAATGGCTTACACGTACTCGGATGAATAGAACGCATCCATGTATTCCATTGAATCAGTACAGCCGTCAGTATAAGTAAATAACTAAGTGAAAGTAACAGGATATTAGATTTGGCAGGGGACTCGGTTAATACATGGGTGAGTAATTTTTAAAGAATAGTTTCAATATCAATTGGCATAGCTACCATCATAGTTAATTCATGAATATGTGCGGTAGCACATATGTATACACGTTTGGTGGTCATTTACTTTCGTACAATCCGATACACATATACCAAATTGAAAGACAATTTCTATTGAATATACAGAATGTGTGCATCATAGTGTGGAGCAAGAGTGCTCCCTTTCTTGCTCCATGGTCATAGTAACCCACATGTTACATTCGTTCACTGCACTCCGGCTTAGTTCATAATACGTAGATTGACCATAACGCCATTATACTGTTTGTCTTTCTGAAGAAAAAAAGACGTTGTTCAAATCCAGGATGCTACTGCACCAACTGAATATATCAAAATTTTATTTTTTTTATCTTTAGCATGAATGACGTCGGCCAATGAAATCACGGATATGAAATAGATACAATTGTAATTAGTTTGGGATTATTTTTAAAAAAAAGGAATGACTCGTGATTCTGAAAATACATAAATATAAAGTTTATAATACATAGATTTGACAGAGCAATCAGTGTGCATAATGCTTCTACAGGTTATCGATTTGCCTCTTTAATTTGAAAACTTCATTCGTTGCTTCTTTGTGCATCCCTGCATGTTCATCCCTGCATGTTCTACGTAGTCATCGAGAAGCGGGTGACTAGCGTGCCGATTGTGTTCGTCTTCGTCGTCTGTGGTGGAATCAGTCTGACGATGGAATAGTGACCGCACTCTTTCAGAAATGCTCCTGTCGATGTATGATTTATGGTCTACAAAAGAAATTGAAATAATGTTAGTAGCATAATACAAACAGTAACAGCGGCAATTACGTCAATTTTATAATGTGTTTAATATTGTTAATAATACATTTTTTCATATGTCAGGGCAAACTCCCAGGCAGAGTTCTATTCCACGAATATATATACTTCCGGTTATCTAACCGCATGGAACTCTGGGAAGGGGAATGATGTCAGAGCAGATCGACAGCTTGCTGACGTCATATCAGCGGGTCATTTTCTTGAAAACATTCAATTGCTGGTACGAAAACAATTGTTTTGCATGAACCAATGATTAATCAGTTGGGATACTTTTCTCGGAACTTATTTGAAAATAAAATTCACCGTTTATTTATTTCAAGAGTGGCACGTCGCGGTATATCATTCACCACTTGTCATTTTCCTTGGTATTTCTCTTATTCTGAGTTAATAGGAAGTAGAACAAGTGTTCTTTGGTTATAAATTCTGCTTGGAAGGGTGAAAGTCAGTCACTGTAATTTATGTTCGGAAAGAGTCGTAAATGTAAGTCACTTATTAAAAATCGAAGTAATTGTTAGGGCTAAAGTATTATACATATTGTCATAAGTTACACATTATATATCGTGACTTAGTTACACTGTTTCAGAATTTAAAAACGGTTAACTTTGTAATTGTGTGTTTTATTGTGTTAGTGGTAGCGTGACTTGGATCTTGTCGGTGACCCCCACCCCACCCCTCTGCGGGAATATCTTGTATCACGTAAAAAAGTGTAAGTATGCTTATAGCATATGCTAACTTAGATAATAAATATTATGATGTTAGTTTGACAAATGTTTTCAAGAAATTATGAGGTTTTTACTTTAAAAGAAAAAGCCAAAATCATAAAATGCATAAAAAAATCATGTTGTTTTTGTTATAAAATACTGGTATTGAAAGTAAATACCCTGGTTTTTTTGGCACATTTTAATTTTGAGAGTACTGGAGGTTTCCATCCTTTGGCGAAGTCGGAATGGTATCCCAATCTAATTAAATTCTGGTGTATTGTGCGGCGTGGATTTTATTTTATTTCATATATTTATTTTACTTTTACTATTTTTTTTTTTTTTTTTTATGTTTTCTGTTATGTATTTGTGAGTCGGTATTTGTTTAACATTGTTTAACATTTAAAACTCTTTAAAAAATGCCAGCAAATAAAAAATAAATTAAAATAAAACAAAGTAAAAAAAGTGTATAATAAAAATAACTATTAAACACAAATTTAAAAAAGCCCAAAGTAGGATCTTATTTTAATCAGATTGAATGGTACACCAAAGTGCACATAGTTCACAAGGCGATGTAGATATAAAGTTTAAACACAAAACAAAAACGGTACAAAACTACTTGAAAAATTTTGAACATGATAAATAACGCTGTAACTATAATAGCGGATAGAATAAAATAAATATCAATAAACCTTCCAGTGAAAATTTTCTGAGTGGCCATATTATGCCGATCAAAGCTAGAGTGTGCGTAGACGATGTTGACTTCAGTTGGCAACCCATGGCTTTTACTTTGTTTTACAAAATATATATTATTTCATGTAAGTGACCGACCTTCACTGTTTTTGGTGCGTTTTCCAAACAATGCAACCCACCATCCGTGTTTCGGATGCTTTCTTCTCTCTTTCCTGTTGGGTTCAAGCGATACGTGAGACGAGCAATGTAATCCGTTATCCATGGCAACAGGAGAATAATAACCGTCTTCGCCTTCACCTACTGTAAAAAGATTTTGGTAAATAATAATTACAAGTAGAACGTTGTTAAATAAAACAAGTAGTTAATACAATTAGTAGTTAAGATCAGAATCATTCATCTTACCTTGTTCACGTTCAAAAGATGTTAGCTTATACCATTCTGCCACAAAATCGTAGTTTGGTATGTGGCTGCCAGTACTCAGAGAAATGGCACAGATCCAACCTTGCATGTCACAATTACACTTGAATTTCAAGACCAACTCTTTCTTGTCCTTGGAATGAAAATCAAACGACGCTATTCACAATTGCGAAAAAATGAAATAGTTCAGTTATAATAATCCGAGTGGAAAGGAAACAACAGCGCCCTCTAGAAATACTAACTAGCACCCACCTGTTGTTTGGCCGTATCGTCAGCCGGCTGGATGTTTTAAGTAGTTCTGGGCACATATCCACTTCATATTCTCCCAAATCGTATATTTTAACATATTTATCACTAATATTTCCAATAATTGATGCAAATGGTTTTGGTTTTTTTGAATTACCCTGATAAAAAAATATGCATACATTAATAAAGGTGGAAACAACACTCAATGCATATATCAAACGAGTTGACGCAGACGTGTGGGGTAACCAGAAACAATATGTACATATATATATATACTGTTCTGGTAAATCTTCCTGTGCTCATAATGGGCATCCCCTCAAACATCAACAACGGGCTGCGTCACCTTAAAAGTGCCCTCGTCGGCGACCTATGAAAAAAGAGCCCTGTCAGATTATTTGTTATTATTTTGACGTTTAATCGGACACTGAGATTCACGAATTTGTTGTATTTGCGTGGGTACTTATTTATCGCTTCCAAATTTTTATTTGCATTGTGTATTTCCGCCACGCATTTTAGCGTCCAAGACTGTAGATCTAATACTAGACGAACCTCGAAAGCCAATCATCGTGATGGTAATTCTATATTTTATGGGATATTTCTTCACATAAATCACTCAAAAAATCCAACACGAACTGGAAGATATTAGTCAGAATGAAATTTAATTATGCGACACGAGCGTGATGAAAAGGGCAAAAAAAAATTAAATTCGCGATCGATGAATCTGCGTAGCGGATGAGAAACCAATATTAGGTTGTACAAAAATTGCTGTTATAAAACCATGTTTTACAGATCTCAGTGAACGATTTGGACGTCGCATAGTCACAAGTTTAGATATCGCGTGATCATTGGTTCACAACGTGACCTACCCTGACTATCAGTAATGTATTCGGATGGGCACAATATACCAATCGCAGCGACCATATCGTTCTAATCTTCACCCATACTGGACCATGATGCAACAATGTATAAGTCCCACTGGCCACCTGGTATTTACGTGTTGGGACAGAATAAGATATACATGATTTTAATTATTTGTTTCCCTGTAAAGCTCCCTTAATTGCAAGAAACGTGTTTTGCGATATATGGTGAAATTAGACTAGGCTCCATGTGCCACTCGTCGCTTATACATGCAGTGACAAGTACATCGCTGTATTCGTGTTTTTCTTTAGACGAAATATTTTATAATCCACGATAGACTGGCCCAGTCATGGCAATTTTATTGTTTTATATGCTAAATCCTTTAGAACGTGTTCGTAGAATCTTCCGCGTTGACCACGATTTAAGAAAGAAAATTATAACATTTCCACTGCCGGGCCAGTCTAATCCCACGGCGCAATCACGGGGATATAGAGAACAAATACAACTACTAGTATATAGAACAAGAAAAACAAATTACAAACGCAGTGGAATGGAATAAAAACGGAATACGGAATAATATTACAGAATTAAATAATTCTTGGGGAAGTGCATTGTAGTGTGTCATTGGCGACAGAAATTTAGTCTTGTGAACATTCTGTGTTTTTTTTAGCTTTCCGATCTACTAGTAAATCCTAAATTAGCTGTTTATGTATGTGGTGTATACTGTTATCGTTATCGTTTATTTTGCAACACGTATTGTATTTGATGCGTCCAACACTTAAAGCGTCCGAGGACCGACCATCTGTCTGCGCTTAGTACTTACCGTGTTCATTTCAGACAGAAAAACCGCAATGTATCGATGTTTTCCGTGGCGTTTCTCAAACTCGAACTGTTTTTAATTTCGAATCAACGCAAAACAAAGCTTCACGGATACAATGGAACCACAGAAAACGATTATGATTGGGCGCTATGGTTCGAACTTAGAATGGAACGGCTGCCTTGATATGCGCATGTGCGCGATAAGAATATTTTCATATTACGTCATAATAATTGTTGCCGCGAGTCGAAGTCTCTCCACCGTTGTGCTGTGATAGCGCTTTTTGTGACGACACAACGACTTCTTATTATGTCACGTTCGGTTTTTTCCCGTACTATCTACTTCTATAAATGTGCAAAAAGAACTCTGGTGTATTGTGTTTACGCTAAGTGTAAATATAATTTCAACAAGATTACTATCATTTTCTATATCTTATATTTATCACAGCTTTCACAGCTTTCTCCTATTTTCAAATTTTAAACTCTCTAAATTAGCTTAAGTTCTGTAAATGTAAATATCCGAAAATAGTGGAGGTACAACAACAATTGAGGGACCCGGGGTCTGCCAGCCAACCTCAAAGCCAAAACTCAAAAAAAAAATATATATAAAAACCTGTGCAAGGATAATTTCGGTTTGAAAATAGACAAAAACAAAAAACAAAACAGAAACGCCGAAACCAATGATGGGAAAACTAGTTACAAGTAAAAAGACAAACTGCATGCCTGTTTTATTGACCTTAGAAAGGCTTTTGACAATGTTTGGCATAATAGACTATTTCTCAAATTAAGGTAGACGTCTTATCATAATTATTGAGAAAGTTGGTCATAAATCGCATGACAATGTTCATTTGTTTATTATGTACAGTCATGGAGCTATTTTCCCATGGTACAATAAAATAGCATTATTTTGTGTGTTATTTTCTCAGAAACATGTCCTAATATATATGTTTTTAAATTGTTATTTTTAGAAAAGAAAAAATTCCCATTTTGACACTTTTTATTTGTCCCAGACTGTTTAAATAATTCAGGACAACAAAATGTACCCCATTATTAAAAAAAAACTAATTTTTCAGCTTATGTCACCAGCCCGCAATTTTACATACTAGTGTTATAATACCTCCAAAATGGCTACTATTAACTGAAATACAACCATTAGTTTTTCGTAAATTAGGCTGGTGACCTTAACTCTTTTTAAAGTCAATATCCTTATATTGCCATTGAGTAGAATTTAATGCAAGATGAATACATTTTGGGAATTTTCATTCATGAGGCTTCTATCTTGACCGCCTTGACCGGTCAAGTTCAAATTTCATACATACTTCAGACATATCGTACAGCCGCGTGTTCATTTTTGTCATGGTGAAATGAAAAATGGCTGACTGGCGGCCATCTTGTATAAACGATTGTAGTTCCACAACCCAATATCTCATACTCATACGATATTGTGGCCATTGTCTGTATTCATGTGATATCTCATGCCTATAATACAAATAGGAAATGCCTATTATTCTATGAAGTATGGTATGCTGCGCCATATGTACGGTATGAACGCAATTCATTTTGAGATATGATGAGACCTTTTTACCTTGTGAAATTCCCATTTCTAGTATCGATGATTGACCTTTCTTTGTTCGAAAAGTATTTGGTTCACATCGTCGTACGTATTTTTTAATTATTACATTTTAATAAGTGCAAAATATTTGGCACGAAATCTTGACTTTTTATTTTGATTTATTGTATTTGTAGTGTGAATAATTTTTTTTTTTAACACGTCAACAGTCTAACTTATCATAAACTAATTATCGCATTTTAATGGGACTTGATATATAGGTGCCTGGGAACAATGCTAAAGACCATTTAGTTTTATAATGAAATTCTAGCATACTAATTACCTAATTTAAATAATAATGAACCAATTTTCAAGTGATATGTATAAAAAAAATGACTGCATTACAATAAAAGTTGGAATACGTGTCCGGAGACAATACTAAAGACGTGCTTAGTTTTGGGCTGAAATTACCTAATTTGCATAACATGCATAATCATCACATTTCAGTTTACCTAATTTTTATTAGTCAATTTCTGATGTCTCAGAAAATCAGATTTAAATTGAACTCGTGGTACAGATGTCTGGAATAAATCCGACTACAAGGCGCGGATGTAGAATCAAACTTATTTTCTGTGAAAAAAGAATCTTTTGGTTTTCGCATCATAAATAAAGGCGCATGAAAAGTACAGTATTCTTTTATAAACTGTGGCCATTGTTGTTGTTGTGTCCCTGCCGCGTACGCTGTGCCAAATATGGGCGTTTGACCTGATCTTATTTGTGTAATGACCTCGAGGTGACGATGACATCATTGTTCAGAAGACGCATACCTCGACGGCCGATGACACACCAAATAAAAGTAATCACGTGACACTGCGCAGTTGAAAGTTACGGAGTTACTCCCCAGAGCTTGGAAATTCATCGTTAAATAACACATTGTGAAAGATTTGTGCATGTTATTTCAGTTAACTTACGAAATTATATAGAAGTTATCAAAATATTTTCTTTAAATTGAGGAGCGAACTTTGGTTTTTCATATTTTTTTTGAAGTCATACAAGTTCAGCTGAACTTAAAGGCAACAGTAAACAGAACAGCCACAGCTTTTTAGCATTATCCGCCATCTTTATTTGGTAGGCCTCTTTCAGAGCTGAGTTGCATCGTATCAATTTTTACTCTAATTCGGTAGGTAACTCATATTTGTACTTCATATTCCACAGACATGTTTAGTATGAGGTACTGCGTCCAAGTTTATCAAATCGACCGCATTCTTGAGTCCGATTCTGGTACAAACAACGATTTCTTTACCTCGACACGGGTGCAAATTACACGGGACATTGTGATGTGGGCTTGGCCTCTGTAATGTGGAGGCCTGCTGGTACATTTGTTCCACCATATCAGATGCAAAATTCCCGTACCCCCGCGATTTACTGTTTTATACACGCATCTTTCGACAGAGAGTTTGAGGGATTTGAAACAACCCCTGATGTCGACGTGAATTATGTAAAAAATAGTGTTCAGACAACAGACTGGATGCAATGGCGGCTAAATGAAATCGGACACTACGTGTATTGAATATTTTGTATGTACCACGCCCCACGTACACGATGTCCGCCCGGGAGTCCGTTGAGTTAAAATAATGCTCATATATGCATTTCTTGATAAAATCGTGTACAGTAGTAAATATCTCTGTCGTCTGAGAAAATTGATTTGAAAACAAATATTCCAGTGACATTCTCAACTAGAGACACTCCCTATTTCTATTTGAACATGATGATACAATTAAAATTTTTAATAATTTTACCCGATTATTATCAGTGTTGTATACTGTAACTAATTGGTAAACTTGTATATATGTATTCGGTCTAATTTGCGGAAGTCCTTGTGGCTATCAGACTAGTGCAATCATTTACTGTTGAATGGGGTATCTGTCAATCCCTGGGACTGTACTGTCACCATCATCGTTTCCATTATTATTTTGTCTCTCAATTCATTTGTGATATTATGCTTAATTAAAATGCTTCTATGCAAGTTGCCCGTTAACGTTTCATTGCAAAGTGTGTCAGCAAATGTCCACAATGTGATACCAGTGAGTGAAACTCTGTAATCTCAATGTCTCACCATTTTAAATTTAGTTGTTTTGTTGTTGTGACTGGCATCCTGAATATTGTATAATAATTACTAGTACTGCATAATGTACAAGAAGGTTGTGTGCTTTGCATATACAATCGTTGAATGTTTTAAATTAATAGGGTAATTCAAGTACATTTTTTTTTATCAAATTACTCGCTTGAATAAAAGAATACATTTTAAAATATTGTTGTCATGTGTGACTACTCAGCACTGTTTAGTAAGTCTCCTAGCTGTACTGATTTACTGTATTTGCACTATAATTATTTGGTGCATTTGTCATAGGTGTTATCGTTCGTCTATATTCAATGTACTATTGTAGCACAATGATTTGCATGTCCACAAGATTGTTGGTTTGACTGACGTGGTCATCAACACAATCAGCAGTGAAAAAAAGGTACAGACTTTCTTTACTAGCTAGGCTTACAGGATTCAGGGTTAGAATTTTGGGATCTAGTCTGAGTCAGAAGAAACTAAAAACTAGTGGTCCCATGTGCTGTTCCCACTCCCCAGTGCATATAACAAGTTTCTTGTAGCAATGAGTAGCAGATTCCAACACAATCTACTTATTCTAATTCAGAACCTGTAAATGAGCATTAATTCAATTCAAAAATTATTATCCAATTTAAAAAAAAATAATTTAGCAGATGTACTTTATAGGAACTAAGTTTTGATCTTATTTGTTTAAATTCTGTACATTGCAATATTGAGTGTCTGAGACTAAATTACATTCAAGATCATATGAGTTTTCTTCCCTGCTGAGAGATTAAAATAGTAACCTGATCTACTGGATTGTTTTTAGTAGAGAATCCAAAAATGGTCATGATCTACTGGATTGTTTTCGATAAAAAAGATGGGTGTGTAGATGAAATAGTCGTCTTCAATTGCTGAATCCAGAGATTCATTGAATGATTTTATAATCCGTATATTGATAGTACCCATACCACGTGCCATCTTCAATAACCCACAAAATGAACCATTTTCTCTATTTTGTTAGTCACCTGAACAAAGTAGACACAGATCACTATAAAATGCCTGTTGTCTCTTTCCAGACTCGGTTCTTCCAGTGTACCACATAGCACTGCTTTCTATATTATTCAAATTGATAATCAGCGAAATAATCTGGTCACATTACTGTCGTTACATTCCTGTGTCACTTGTAGTTTCTTCATTGCCTCAAACAAAACGTGACATAAATGTCTTAATTGATATGCTGTAAATATCATTTTAACCAACAGTGTGTGATTGCAATATACATTATTTATCATTAAATTGTGATAACTTTCATGATACATTTCTGAATTGCCTGTGAATCCTGAACTTTCATATTCCATTAGGCTGAATAAAAAATACGACACACTGTGCCTGACTTTGCATAGATTCAACATGCCAACCCTACTTCTTGTTCTGGTTAGAATTAAAAGTGCGCATTTACAGCAGCATAAACTAGATTTTTCCTTAAACTTTGCCTCAGTATGTTGCCTAGACAGAAATTGCTTAGTGCAAAAGTTGCACCGGGGGGAAATGAGATACCGGTAGTCACTAAATGTAGAACTTCGTTTTCTAAACGTGAGATAATTTGATAGCGCAATTAAGGATGCCTCTCGCTATATTGCAAAGTTCACAGAAATTTGTCTAGGAATAATAATAATATGACTAGCAGCTTTATAATGTCATTTGTAATAGGAATACAAAATTTGTTGATTTTTATAAAAAATATTAATACAAAAGAATATATATTTTATCATATAATAAAACAATCAAGAAGAGTCACGCATACTCGTATGTTGAAATTATAAAAATTACAACAACAAAAAATACCTAAATCAGCTCGCCAAATTCACTTTGACGTTCCAGTTTTTATTTCGTAGCCTTGATAGGTTATTCAAATAAACAAATTTGCCATTTAGCTTTGGTGCATAATGTGTTCATTTCACATTGAATATAAAACAGTATTTGTGCGTAGCATTGTTTTGAAGTCCAGTGTGGAGCAGGTGCGGGGAAAGGAAATAGTCATTATTATGACATACACTACTCCTTAATTAATGCTTGTTTTCATGTCAGTGTTTCCCATTCTAAAAGTGTATCCTGAAAAAAAATATTCCCTATACATGTTCCGAGATACGTTTTTTTTTTTCGCAAAATAAAATATTAAATTTATTTTCAGTGCATCAGATCATGCTAAAATCCAATAAATGAGTTGTTTTTTCGCAAATTTCGATGGGTTAATGAATTCAAACGGTAATGATTTCTATTCACTGTTTAATATTCTGCTTGTGTTCAATAAGTTATTTTTAACTGAGGCCCTCTGGTGGCAGTCAGTTGTCCTATGGGGGCCTCTTTTTTTTCATTGTAACATATATACAAGGCGTAGTTTTTCCTTGAACTACCTAAAGTGCCCCATTGAGTATGACTAATAGAATATTCCTGCTCTCCTGATTATGGCTGCGAGGATTATAGTGCTGTCGTCAGTATGGGCTGGGTTTTTGACAACGCTTGAGTGTCTGTCTTTCCGTGTATTGGCATTGAAGCCAGCATAATCACGTTGTGACGTAAACGCTGCTTGATAATAACAGCAGTGCAGAACATCGTTGTTGATTGCCAGTCCTGCACTGTGTTTCAACATCTGCCTTTGAGTCTACCGTTTTCTTTTCGCATCGACTATTTGTCATCTTTCTGGCTGGAAGAAGACACCCTATCACCTCGTCCGCATGGATTGATTACAGACGCTGTTGCAGCACGTTTTGTGTCATGTTTCCCACCTGTATGTCATGCCAAAGGCTAACATCTGTCCTTTTCTTGAAGCTCATCCCGATCTTTTCCTCATTCTCCTTCTTCTCCTCCTCGTCATTTACATCCTTTTCTATGGACTAAGCTGTCTACTAATTCATGCCCATCAAGTGCAAACAGGTCAGTCCAAAACTATTATTTTTAGTTGTCATACCTCTGTCCCAAAATTTTAACCTTGAGGTTCCAATTTCAGTATTCAAATTGGTTGCCTAAGTAACGAGCAGTCTCATTACTACATATCGTTAGCATTAGCTGAAGTGTATTTCCTTTTTTAATGGGTTGAGTGCAAGTTAATGAAGAAACCAGATTCATAGTATTAGTTTTTTTCTTCTTCTCAATTGAGTTCGTAATTTTTTGTAAAACTCAATTTCTGTGACAACTCTGATCTTGATCTTTTTTTATGGGTACATTGTATTTTTATCTCAGTTGTGTTCTGCGTTTAGTTATGTTCTCAAAAGATGCGTTAGCTGCCATATTATTTATCACAGACCTCAAAATTGAGTTTGCAGTCTCTTTAGACATGCATCTTAAGATAAAACTTTGGTTTTTAAAATCCATAGTACAATTGATAAATAAGATAAATTGTCTTCCAGTTTTTGTCAGAGTTTTAAAAATAATTATACAAATGTTGAGGAAAGATCAGAATATTTATCTATCTAACTGCGTTGGTCTCTCAATATCGCAGTTCCAGTGTAATTCTTGTATTAATTGTTTCTGTGTTAATAATTGATATGCTCTGACGTCAATCGTTTCAAATGTATCGTTCTACAATGTATAAAATATGACTTTGCTAAACCAGATAAGTTTATTGAATTTGAGAAGTTCGTGGAAATTTCAGATTGATCAGATAAAAAAGATCACCTTGTCTGTATGAATTTGCAGAATGCATAATTTTGCATATTTTGTCATTTTTTTTTTATTATATCTTTTTTTTTTATGATGAAAGCCTAATGAGGAGAAATTAAAATGGTTTCATATTTGAATCATTGGCAGACTACCGTAGACTTCATTGATTGTCGAAACTATAGCCTACCCATATCATTGGTAAAATTCAGTAAATTGTTAAAAGTAGATACTTATCACAGTTGAACAGCCGACTACCATCTCATTTTTTTCAACATAATTGTACCAGAGTTCATTATCGCATCGATTATAGATAAGTCAATAAAATTCAGATTTTTTTTTTCTGCTGGTTTTAGTGTATTTCATGCACATTGCAGTAATTATGAATCTATTTTTTTTATTAATGTACGGTGTCGAGATCTTCTATTAACGAAGTACTCAAGGGGATTTATTTTTAGGTTTTGTGCAAATACTTGGAATATAATAACTGATAATATATTGTATGCATGATTTTGAATATACGTGTACATATGCGTGTTTGTTTGATAGATACATTGCTGTCAAGCCTGTCTAGAAATTATTTTTTGCAATATGGAATTTTTAGTATTTTTTATGATGATCTTGAGTGTTTATTAACTAATTCATTCATTGTTTACGTTCAAATTAAACTAAAGTAAATTTATTGTTAGTAATGGAAAATTATGTCCATTTCTTCCACAATTAAAAAATGTTCTTGGAAACAATGGCGGCATTCAAAAGGTTATAGAGCGAAAATTGTTGTGAGAAAGCCAGAGCAAAGCAGTCTATTCTTCATTCTTGGCCTTTGTGACGTTACATTGCTATTATTTCTCTGTAGATGATAGTTATTTGTTCAAACATATTTCTGTGACACGAGTGTTCTCGCGAAGGAGGAATTCAGGGATACGTCCCCTGTGTACATACTGAATTTAATTTGCCTCAATGAGTGAACTATATCATGATAGTTCATGATTTCGACGCATTTCACTTTGATAGAAACTGTAATGTAAGTTATCGTTTAATCTACAATTATCTCACTTCCTGGTTAAATGTCAAACCATGGTGGTTAATTTGCATAATAATAATAATAATAATCTAATTTGCATATGTCTATCAACACTTTTTTTGAAAGCATGTTTCTAGCTTGGTTTAATTCTACTTACTTGAAGGGTCTGACTCGAACATTGGATTTTTTTCAGTCCTTTTTTTTACACATGTTTTAATGTGTTGTAATTTTCCATATTATTACTTACATAACTACTTGTACATTGCAGAGTATTTCCACAATGTGGCGTAATACAGAACAGATCAAAAATGCACATCACATGGTGTGCATCACGTTTTTTAAGTGGACAATTTGCTCATGTGTGTATTTTCAAAATTAGTATTCAGTGCCTGGAAATTAAATAAAACCAGCAAATTGGAGCAAATGTCATGAGTAAGCAGAAAGTATACAGAAGGCTTTGAGTGATATGGAATTTTATGGCGTCAAAAGAATTAGCATACAATTACATGTGCAATGAAATATTTGTAGATTTGAAGATTTTATGGCATTCATGAAAAAAAAAATGTGAAAGTTGCTGAAATTTTCACTGATACAAAATTGTGTGATTTTCAGCAATAGTTTCTCTTTTAACACTTTGTTTCATTTTTTCGGATTATGGAAATTATGAGTGTCATAAAAGTATAATCCTAGGGTATTTTGTTTTGAATTGACGTAAGCAGACACTCATGGTTATTACCAGAGTGGCATTTACATATCGCCTGCCGGTGAAAACCTCCATAATAGTCAAAATGAATGCAGAAAAACTGGCGTCAGCAGCGATGTGTTCATCCCCGTCTGGGGCTTATTGATACAAAACTGTTGCCATGATCACTCGTATCTGCTGGGTCAACCATTCAGAGAAAATTTGCCTCTTTAGACATGCTTCTTATTAGTTATTGGGCCTTCCTATGTATAATATAATACTTTGGTATTACCTGTCATTAGTTAATTATGTAAATTTGACAGCACCCCTGTTAATATAGCATTATAAATTGTTGAGGAATTTGCCTGCTGTAAAACAAGTATTGACTTCATGTTCCACCTTTCGCTGTTACATACAGATGAATGTATGGTGAGATAAGTTCATCACTTACCCAAAAGACTGAATGAAATGTTTCTTAAACGCTATAATAGCAAGTTAATTTCATATTCTTCCGATGGTGTCAAGTACCTGTCCAAATGCGCAATTATCACAGCAGAATTTTGAGTGTTTCGTCTTTGAGTAAGCCCTATACTCGTACCGTTAATTCCATTATACTCGGGTAATAAGGACATTCACTATGTGACTGTGTTGTCTGGATTTTTCCCTTGAGACATTGAATGATTACTGAGCAAGTTACAGCGATAAAAACAAAACAGGAATGAAATTTAGATTGTTTGTGACTTGTACCATGTTGTGTGTCAAGAGATATAAAAATCACGCGCAATACGCTAGGTTACGGGAGGTCAACATTAATATGCACGGTAGTGACATCCCCATACTAAATACTAACCTCATTTTGAGAAGAATAAACTGATTATACGTTGTCTCCTCGAGGCTGGGTCTTTGTGTGTTCCCAAGTAGTTGTAAGTACGTTATTTTCAAGAAGTTGACGGGGCTAATGGAAACATACTGTTTGGGTGAAGTGAACTGTGTCGTCTCGAGTTTAATGTCATAATAGTGATAACCACAGTGGATTTCCCTATAGTTGTTTGCTGAAGTGAACAACCCCCTCCCCCATTGTAACAAGTTTTCAACCCCCTCCCCCATTGTAACAAGTTTTCAACCCTATCTTTTAGATGTACTAATCTGAATTCAGTTAAAATGCTAGTCTTTCTATGTTTTACATTCAACTCATTGAAAATGTGGGATGTAAATTTATGTAAAAAATGTACCAGACGAAGATCATGATTTATACACAGGTTACCGTAGTTACACAGTATTGCATTACATTATCAGCTAACAACCGTAATGGTTTTTCAGAGTTGCTTATATTTGTGTCATCGTGTCATGTTTGTTTTTTTCCAGAATTTTCTGGATGATCAGTGTAATAATTTAAAAAAATACAGTCACTTCTTGTAATAACACTCATAGAATTTTCTATCTTGGAAAAGTCTTTAAGTATGCTGTCATTTCAGCATGTTGAATGAGGTTTCATACAGTGATGATATCTACATGTACATGCAATGTATGTACTTGTGTTACCAATAAATAAATGAAAATCCACATCGAATGTCTGAATCGCCGTCGGTCTTCCATTTAATTTATTAATATTTACGTAATTTCGATACTTGATAGTGTAATTTATGATTTATACCGTTCTATGATATGCATTCACTATCGTGTTTTCTAGGTTTTCATCATTATATTGATTTTTTTATAGACATATTTGAATTTCTTGGTAACATCGTCATACTATTTTGAAGTCACTATTGTCCCTCTTGACATTTATGAATGTATGACGTATATGTGCATATTTAGTGTCTGCTTAGTTACGTAAATGATATTTGCAATGCATTAACTGCACTAATATAACTGTATATTTAACTAAAATCGAACCAAATTGACTTCAGACTTAAAGTAAATATTATTACAAGGTTAAATATTGTGTTCAAAGTCGTGTCACGTCACTGGGTGATTGCGTACCTCTAGGCACAGAAACAGTGTTCTACCCAAGCCGTTCAAGCACAGCGGTTTTACCATGCCTTGCCAGTGAAATAGTGTTCCCCAGCCAAGCCCTTTAATTAAACACAGCAGTTTTATCATGCTTTATCGCTTAAAGTACAAGGTTCTACTAGGTCCTTTCAGCACAGCAGTTTTTCCGTGCATGGCTACTGAGTCTCTCATTATGCAATCTGACTGGGTCCGGTGTTGCACTTGATCGAACACATTAGTAATTACTTCACGTGTATGTTAACAGTGATGTGCTCGTACAAAATATTACAACATGTCCTATTTCCTTTGATAATTGGCTCAATCAGACTGAATATTTATATTTTAGAACTATTGTAAAATACTTTATTTTCACTTGGAATTACTTTTCGCTATTTTCACTGAAAGAACGATTTATCGAAAATAAAATCCAGCGAATATACCTTTTTTCTTATCTTTTACATTCAACTCATTAAAAATCAGTGAAAATAAATTCTATACAAAACACCCAAAAAGTCTATTCAGTGAAAGTTAATTCCAGCTAAAATAAAGCATTTTACAGTATTGCGTTATAGATCATTAAACTCACTGGGTACATGTATGTGCTACATGTAACTGTCCATATTTTTTATACAAACTTCCTTTAATGTGTATGAAGCCCATTTCTTTCTATTTTATATCTGAAACGTGTTCTCCCCAGATGTTTTAAACCTGGTAATTTTACAATGCTTGGTTGCACTCTTGAGAGGTTACTTACTAGAATATGATGACATAAACTAAAAATTACATTTAATGTCAGCTGGATAAATACAACTGATTTCAACAATACCCCTGGTACATGTAGTACACTTCTTTTATTAGCTCCGCTGTCGACTTTGTCAAGCGGAGCTTATCATATGAGTGATTGTCAGTCGTCGTCTGTGTCAATGTTTTACTTTATATCACGACTTCTTGTTAAAAACCAAAAGTTCAATTGCTTTGATATTACATATATAGATACTACATGTAGACCTTTCTCAGATTTGTTCATTCCATGATGATATCTTCAATTCTCTAATTTTGGTGAATATTTTTGTCATTTTTGGTAGAAAGTGATATTTTTGACTTTCTGTTAAAAACTGTAAGTCCGATTGCTTTGATACTATACATATTGTTCATTTTCTAATGATGTCTTCAGTTCTTTAATTGAAATGTGCATTGCTAACAGCAGAGCTATCTCAGCCGATAGGCTGCTTGTTGTAAAAGCATACACTACTTACTGTGAAATACTTTATTTTCGCTTGGAATTAGTTTTTGCTATTTTCGCTGAAATAATGGTTTAAAATAAATTCCATACAAAACACCCAAAAAGTCTATTCAGCGAAAATTAATTCCAGCTAAAATAAAGTATTTCACAGTATTAATTATGCTAATTAGTTAGGTTTGGACATTTAGCTCATCTTGCCTCTGTGAAAAATACAGTACCGGTAAATGATAGATCGTTGTTGTTTACCATCATGTTGTGTACATTAGCTGACTTCTATCCATATGAATTGTCTTATTTTGCAGACCAATTAGGGGAGAGCAAAGAAAATGACGGACCGCGAGATAAAAGTACTTGAGACGGCTGATGACATCCAGATTCGTCGAAATCAAGTCCTTTCTCGTTATGCTGAGTTTAAGAAGCTAGCACATGAGCGCCGTGCGAAGCTGGAAGATGCGAGACGCTTCCAGTTCTTCAAACGTGATGCTGATGAATTGGAAACTTGGATCTTGGAGAAGTTGCAGACTGCTTCCGACGAGAGCTACAAAGATCCAACTAACCTGCAGGTAAGGATGCACATTTCTTTTATTTTTACATACCACCTAGCTTACTGGTAATTATGTTGGAATACACAACTCAACGATCATTTTAATGTATCAGGTGACATTGTTTGAATACAAAACTGTCATACCCTTTAAATACTGTTCCCTTATTTTATGTTGCACATCACTAGACGTCTACACACGTTATAGAGGGCGCTGTTAATTGTTCATAAGATTCTAAAAACATTTATCTCTATATAATGTAGGTATTTTTTTCCCCGTATTTAAAAATTCACTAGCAAGATTAATTTTTATCAAAAAATGATTTAACATAAACTTTTTATTTCTACTTGGTATACTGTTGCATGGTTACAATGTTCCTAATTTTTTTCGTTTGTCCAAATCTTGAAAAGTTTTGTCTGTGTAATGTCTTCTTGTGTCGTCTCTCTTTTCAAATTCTTGCTTTTTGGCAGAGATTAATTACAATCAAGGTAATTTTTTTAATCGACTTGTTAACAAAATATGTACAGTTAAACCTTTATACGAGGAATTTTGTTGTTTACTCCTTTATTAGCACAGTCTTATCACCCCTATTCCATAGTTGATTGATTCATTTTGACTATATGCTGATTTAACATCCGATTGTACCATTTTTAAAAAACCAAACACAATAGGGATGATAAGGTTTGGCTATATTTTCTAAAATGTCTGAATTTCTAGATTTCTTTATCTATTCAAAGCATGGCTAGTTAAGTTATCATAGCATATCTGCTTTTTGAGATTAATATCAATCCTGCCAAAAAGTTTCACTAGCTATTTTTCATTTTGTCTAGTTTTTGTCTAGAAACATTCTTTTATAGAAACAATTTCTTTTTAGCAAAAAACATAACCGATGACTGTAAGTAAATATGGGAGCATCTTAATCTGGAAGGGATTTAGATTTACTGTTAGTTTTACAAGGCGAGAAAAGAATCCAGAGAAATGCAATCCACTGGAGACAGGAACTCGCAGTACCACGTTCTTTTCAAGCTTCACTAATGTCAAACATAGCCATTTTCTTAAGTGTGTGCACATTATACTTGAATTATAACCTTTTTTCTAACTACATCAGCTGAACATGAACTTTGGTATTTAGATGACATTTAATTTCTATGCGATGACTTCTAAAAAGGTTTGAATAGCTAACTAATTAGGTGAATTTAGCTAGTGCCTACATACACAGCCCCTGTGAGTTTCGACCACTGCTGTGAATTTAGTCAATGCCTGCTATTGTTTCTGGCCACTGTCAAATTAAGTCAACGACCTACATGGCTATGGCTTCACTATTCCTCTGTTCTGAGGTAACATTTTGTGATGAAAAGCTCTGTAAGAAAACAATTTTGAGCTGGCTATTGCCTCTTTATTGTGTGCTACTGATTCTCGGCTGTTCTAATCACAAACGTTTTCTGCCAGTTTCTTATCCTATTCTTGTTCTGATTCTTGATTGGTATCGGTAAGTATTGTTAAGTCAGCCATGTACATTTCTACAGTACTGACAACGTTGAACCAACAGTTAATTTGTCAGTTCATCACCTAACAGCCACACTCCGTATTTTTCCTCCACCCCTCTCATATAGGATATCAAAAACTTAAAGGTACGATTAACAACACGAATTGAATATATGTTTCTGTGTTCGCGCTGAAAACTGTTTTGTGTGCTTAAATATTGCTTTTTGTCCTATCCCACCTCTACCTTCTTTCGTCTGAAATCATAGGGACCACATGTAAGCATGCAACCCACGCATACGTATGGCAAAATAAAATGTTTCGCAATGCTGTTTCATTTCAACAAGGAATGTCAATATTGAATGGAAGATGGTAGATATTTTTTTAGCTGCAGTGTTGCTTGTGTAGTATTGCTTACTGGCTATGTACAACTTATACAGTCACTGAAATTGACATGGAAGAAAGGAGTTGATATTTTCTCAACAGACCTTGACATTTATTCGCTGTTCCCATAACCATATCTCGCATGAAAGCTACAACAGTCAGCTGTCTTTGTGAAAAAAATGTAGTACAGTTTGCTTTCATATTGTGTTCAATGTATGCAATTTTTGTAATGTATCAAAACATTGATTAATTAAGTTATTAATTTATTTTGATCATTTCTCAACACATCGTTTGATGGTGTCGATTATTCGCATTCGTTTCGTTTTGCTTATCCGTGGCGGCTTTCAGCAAGCGATGTATTAATGATAGACGTAGTGCCAAAAATTAGAGTATTTGTTACCATATACGGGTAACCATGGGTGACATCGTACGCCAAACATTTGATCAATTGCCATCGCTAACTTTGTGAAATGTTCGCATATGCCCACAATCGTTAAAATACATTAGGTTTAAAAAATAACTCGCAATACAATGTATTCGCCGAAAGCTTGTGTATTTACCAAGAAGTAGGTATCTCTCAGAATATTCACTGATTTTATTTATATTTATTTTATCCTTAGGGTAAGTTGCAGAAACATCAGGCATTTGAAGCTGAGGTTGCGGCCCATAGCAACGCCATTGAACAGTTGGACCAGAGCGGCATGGAGATGATCAATGGAGGTCACTTTGCCTCGGAGACTATTGAGGTCAGTCATTTATTCATTTTGTGTTTCTTACTTACTGTTTTCAAGTTTTAGACAAGTAATGTTGTAATAGGTCCCTTTCATGACCTTTTAATCTTCATGGCACTTTCATTGGTATAAAAAAAATTACTTGATTTTATTATTTTGGCAATTTGAGTACTGTAAAATTTTTGCTTAGAATTAATTTTCACTATTTTTGCTGCTGGAGTAACGATTCAGTGAAAAAAAATCCAGTGAATATACGTTTTTTCCTATATTTTACATTCAACTCATCAAAAATTAGTGAAAATGAATTTCAGCAAATACAACCAAAAAGTCTTTTCAGCGAAAATTAATTCCAGCTAAAATAAAGTATTTTACAGTACAATGATTCTGTTTAAAAACAAAGCGATATATTAAAATTGTCCATGTTTTTTGATGCTATCATACCAACGAATGTGCCAAGATGTGCGACTTTTTAGGGATCATGAAAGTGGTCTACAGGTTAGTCATTGATAAATGCTGAATTATGATTTTGCTTGTGATATAGTCTACAAGTCGAGATTAGAATGAGAGTAAATTTTACTCTCGTTTGTGATTTTATACATTATTTTATTTAGTGATGATTCAAATTTGTTTGTCTGCCAATTTTTACTTCCCATCGTCTGTATGTATATTTTCCCAGAAGGTTGACTTGTTTTTTCATTGTTTTCAGACCCGCTTGGAAGAGCTGCATCGTTTATGGGAGTTACTGTTGTCAAAACTGCGTGAGAAGGGTATTAAGCTATTGCAAGCCCAGAAATTGGTACACTTTTTACGCGAGTGTGATGAAGTCATGTACTGGATTAAAGATAAGGTTAGTTGTCCACCAAGGTTTTCTTTCTCTCAAAAAAATTCTATTAATTTAACATCCATCAAGAATGTACATAAAATATTATTTTGTATTTTTCATTGAAATTGCTCAAAAGCACCTCATCAATAATCCGTGCGTGTCAATATCATCTGGATCATTTTTACTCCAAATAATGTTAAAATTCAAATTAATATATGTATATTTGATATAAATTATCATGGTATCATGTTGTATTGTTTACTAACAACTCCTATACTTCTTATCACTCAGGAAGCATTCACTTCCTCTGTGGAGACTGGTGTAGATTTGGAACATGTGGAAGTCTTGCAGAAGAAGTTTGACGAGTTTCAGAAGGTGAGTGAGCTTATTTGGTACTCATTACACGATGGTTTTGGTATGAGTGCTAATTGGTAAATATCGGTAATAACAAGTACAAGTCATTGTCTAGTACTGTAAAATCTGTATTAGAAGCTGTGGCCTCTATTAAAATGATACGATGAAACGGAAGGGATGCGGCTTTTATTAAAGCATCTACACATATGAGAAATTGTGAATTTTTGGTTCTCAATTATTCAAAAAGAATGGGTACGACTTCTATTAAAAATGCAACTTTTAATACAGATTTTATGGTGCCAGTTATTAGTGACCTTGGTATAAGTTATTAGTGGGTGATAGTTACAGCTATGTTTAGTTAGATAATACCAGCTAGCATGTGTTATCAGTGATTTATTAGTGTTAGTTTTCAGATGTTAGTTAGCTTTAGTTAGTATGAGTTATCAATGGTCAGCTAGCTGTAGCAGTCATTAGTCAACAGTTGGTATGAGTTGTCAATGATTACCTGATTGGTTGGTACAAGTTTTCAGTGGTTGGTTAGCTGTTGCTGGTATAATTTTATGAAAGGTTGATTACCCTTTGTATTTAAAATGCAGATTGGCATGTCACTCCCTATGTGGATTAATTTTGTACTTTTATCAATGAACAGGACTTGCAAGCCCATGAGGATAGAGTGGTTGATGTCAATGCTGAAGCTGACAAGTTGATTGAAGAAGAACATCCTGAGTCTGAAACCATCACTACTAGACAAAGGGTAGGTTGCTGCTGATTGGTTATTAACTACTGACACATTGACCAAACAATTTAAGGTTATACCCCATTTTGTTTATGGGTATTACTGCCGTAAAAGTGAGGGGTTAACTTCCCACAAAAAGCTGTGGGTTGACAAGTAGTTTATTTCTGTTTCATATCTGCAGTGATTTTTCAACTAAGATTTATTACGAGTGAAATAAATACTTGATAAAAGCTTGTTGGTGATTGGTAGCTGATTTATTGTGCATTAATTTTAACCCAATGACTCTTTTAAAAACTGGATCTGAATTGTCTATTGTTTCACCAACTAGGAATTGAATGAAGCTTGGGAGAGACTGAAAGCTGCTGCTTTGGCTCGTCAGGAGAAATTGTTTGGTGCAATGGAAATCCAGAAATTCAACAGGTTTGTATAAGTGTTGGTGCAAGCGTATGATTTAAATGTCATGGATAATTTCTAACAAGAACATTCATAATAATATTTATGTCTCCAAGTAGTTTTTCTCTGAGAAGTTTTAGCCACCACACATACCATCATTGCGCTTATTTCACCGTTTATTAAATCTTTGCGTCATCCAGGGATGCTGACGAGACCATCAGTTGGATTAACGAGAAAGACTCTGTGATGTCATCAGATGATTATGGTCGTGATTTGGCGAGTGTACAAACTCTGCAGCGTAAGCACGAAGGTTTAGAACGCGACTTAGCAGCATTGGAAGATAAGGTAAGAATATTTTGTAATTTTGTAAGCTCTTTCATTGAATTTTTGTTTATTTTTATTCCACATACAACAAATTTGTTGTTGTTAACAAATCATAACAAGTTTATTGGAAAATAAGACATAATTTAATTATTATAAATGTGTATTGTGTAATCTTATTGTTTTTTTGAACGTACCGAATATAGGTATCTACATTGAGTACTGAAGCCGATAGACTGCAACAAATCCATGATGCTCCTGAGATCCAGACTAAGAAGGATGAAATACTGACAAACTGGGGTCTGCTGACCACTAAGGTGAGTTTAAAATATTTGAAAAATACAAATCGATCACATGAACAGACTTGAGTCTATGATTTACCTCTATTTGCTTCCTTGGAAGTGCATTTCCAAAAAAAAAAAAAAAAAAAAAAACAACAAAAATTGCATTTATTGCGCTCGTATACTGGATCATTGCAATGTGTCGTATTTGACATATGGTTCATTTCTGTGATTTGCACAAGTGATTCTAAACAAACAAATACTTTTATAACTCTTGAAACATATTCAAAAGAATAATATTATACAATGTAGAACAGAATTGTGCAAAATTAAGTAACTTATAAATATAACTGGGCAACTGCAATGTTAATTACACCGACTGTGTTCACTTTTCACACAGGCCCATGAACGTAAAGAACGACTGGAAGACTCGTACAAACTGCATCATTTCTTGGCCGACTTCCGTGATCTGTTATCGTGGATCCATGACATGAAAGCTTTGATCACTGCTGATGAACTGGCTAAAGATGTTGCCGGGGCAGAAGCTTTGTTGGAGAGACATCAAGAACACAAGGTAAACACCAATTTGTTGACTTGGTTTTGTATCTTTATATTTGAGTAGTATTTTTAACCATTCCTGCATTGCTGAATGAAGATGGTAAAGTGTTGGAGGTGCAATATCCGATAATTGGCTTCTTGTGGCCGCTATGATCATTCGATTATTTACGAACTTTTTTATAATTCAGAATTAGGTTTGTGTTGTGCATGTAATGAACGTAGAATATCTTATTTCAAACAGGGAGAGATTGACGCTCGTGAAGACAGTTTCAAAGCAACTGCTGCAGCCGGTCAGGAATTATTGAACTGCAATCACTATGCCTCGGAAGAAGTGTCAGAAAAGGTAATGGGTCTTACAGGGTGCTCTGACTGTGCATGGTGGTACTATACGAGTGTGTGAGGGCGCTGTAGCTGTGAGACTTATAACAGACAAGTATCAGTCAGTATCTTCACTGACATACAGTTATAGCAATTCAAAAAAAAAAAAATTGTATTCGACAAAAAGAATTGTCATTCCTCTCTCCCTCCCATTAAAATATAAAATCCTGCATTGAATTGTATTTGAAAAAAAAGATTAGGAAAACAAAATGCTGGTCTTAAAATTTTCTTGATAGGAAAGTTTCTTTTGTATAATGTTTGCTGCCCCTCCCCCCTTCAGTCTTGTAATTGTTCATCAACAATTATTCATACAAATGAATAATTTTTATTTATCAAGCTGGTGACATTGGCCAATGAGAAGACCTCCTTACTGGAACTATGGGAAGAGCGTCGTATTCAGTACGAGCAGTGCATGGATCTGCAACTATTCTACCGTGACACTGAGCAAGCCGATACCTGGATGAGCAAACAAGAGGTTAGTTTTATATTTCACTCAAATATATTTTCATGAATAATTCAAGAGACCACGGTTAAATTACCATAATGGGGGGGAATCAATCTAGTCTTCTTCCAGAGTAAATAATAACAAATAATATCTTCCCTATTAAGTCATGTGTTTGTATTATGTATGTAATATTTAATAAATGTGTCGTAACATTTTTGGTCATATTTCTGAACAGGCTTTCTTGAACAATGAAGATCTTGGTGACTCCTTGGACAGTGTGGAATCTTTAATCAAGAAACATGAAGACTTTGAGAAATCATTAGCTGCACAAGAGGAAAAGATTCGGGTAAACATGTTTTTAATACTACGAGCAGACTGAGGATGACAAGTGATTAGTGTCCACTTCCTTATTACACATTATTTTTATACCTGTGTATTTCCTGTTTTTCTCAGATTTACAATAGTGTTAAATACTTTATTTTTGCTATTTTTCGCTGAAAGGGTGATTCAATGGAAATAAAATCTTACAACTATTTTTTTTCAACGTTTTACTTTCATCTAATCGAAAAACAGTGAAAATATAACTCAATAAAAAACACCCCAAAAGTTTTTTCAACGAAAATGAATTGCAGTTCAAATAAAGAATTTGACAATACAAGGTTATGCACATAGATTTGGTCAAGCTGTTCAAAAATAATTGTACTGAGAGGTGAACATTTTCTACACTATTGTCTCTCTAACATTGATTATTTTTTTTACAGGCTCTTGATGAGTTTGCTACTAAACTGGTTGATAGTGAGCACTATGCAGCAGATGATGTGTCTGCTCGCCGTGATGCAGTGAGTATTCATTATTTATTCAGTTTTTACAATCCCCCAGTTTTAATATCCTGGCTACGTGTCAGAATACTCATAGTAGCACTATCCTGACTACTCCAACATTGTGGTATCCTGGCTGCTCAGTATCCTGATACGATATGCAATTTCCCGGTTACATGTCTGGGTATGTACAGTATTAGCTGTGACACACTAATGTTACTAATGACTGACTTAGTCATCACATTAGTGATCACCATAGCAACCAAGTTAAATTTCGGCAGTGGTGTTCAAATACAAAAATTTCTTTGATCATCATTAAATTCCTCAAAATTTTGAATAGTGAATATTCCTGGCCTTTAATATATTTTTGTTTTTATTGTATATAACTGCAGATATTATTCAAATAGTGAAAGACGTAATACAGTTAAATAATTTTATCTGGATTCATTTCAATTTCTGTTTTTACTCTGCATTTCAAATTCAAAAGTTGCTTTTTAACCGGCTTTCAAAAATAGTTCGCCATTGTGGTTGCTCATATAACTTTGTTTTACTTTTCAGTTATTGGAGAGACGTGCTGCATTAATTTTGCGAGCGAATACTCGTCGTACGAAACTGGACGAGTCGTATAAACTTCAGATGTTTGACCGTGACGCTGATGACGTCAAGGGATGGATTAGTGAAAAACTGAAGAGTGCTGCTGATGAGTCCTACAGAGTAAGTGCACCTTGTAATTTCCACCATAAACAGGATTGGATTGTCCCTTTGCGAAATGTTGATTTAGCGAATCTCTCTTGTCCATGTTGATTTCCTGTTTTCACAATACTTGTCTGACGCGTGCCAAAACAAATGTGCAGTTATCACCTCCATAAAAACAAAGAAACTGTGTAATTAGGAAGCGCCCCAGATTTTTATGTTCCGGATTACTGTACACAAATCCCCAAACCTTGGCCATTTTGAATTTATAATAAAGTCATTAGCGACATCTTGAATTAGCGAATCAGTTCTCTCGCTAAATTCGCTAAAAATACATGCTCGTGAAAAAGACATGTTTTACAGCAAACTCACTGGAATTAGTGTTGGGATAAATTAGTTTTTCTCTGATCAAAAACTAGAACCAATGTCACATTTTATCTGTTTGGTCCAAAATTAAGTTTGATTTCAGTAAAAATTACAGAAAATGTGGACAAATTTACCTGAATTTAAGCGGGAAAAAATTTGACACTCAAAGAGTTGAACTAATACCCATTTTTCGCCAGTTGCTATGTATTGCTTTATATAGTATGATAATTATAAAATCAGGATCTTTGATTAATTTTAATTTCTATTCATACTAAATGCTACATAATCATATATGTTTTGTTTTAAACTAGGACCCAACCAACTTGCAAGGAAAGAGTCAGAAACACCAGGCTTTTGAGGCCGAATTAGCAGCTAATCAGCTGCGTATAGATGCTGTCAGAGACGTTGGTGAAGAACTGATTAAAAACGATCACTATGCCAGAGACCAGATTAAAGAGAGATTGGACGAGATTGAAGAATTATGGCGACAATTGCTAGATTCCACTGGAAACAAAGGTGAGCTTGTAGTTTTTTCGAAAATATTTTAAAAATTAGTTTTATTTTGCTTACTTTTACCTTGCCGTTAACAAAGATCACAAGATTTAGTTACCTTAAATTAAAATGAAACTTTATACAAAGGTTATTTTGGATTATTTACAGTTGATTACTTGAGCATTGAAAATCAATGCATATTAATTACCTAATTAGCATAAATTGAATAATTTCCTCATATCTGAATTACCATTTAAGATTTACATAATACTTGGTACATAGGTAATCTTTGTACTTTAATTTGATTTAATTAATTGTTTATTTTTGTTTCATGTTTACTTGTACACAAGAATTCCTTTTAAGGTCTAAAATTGGGCTTATTTAGACGCTGAGATAAATTGCAGATAGACATTTCAGTTGATAGATCACAGTTATTATGTAACAATATTTGAAAAAAAATCGTTTTATCCCGACAGGATGCAAATTGAAGGAAGCCGCCCAACAACAACAGTTCAATCGTAACATTGAAGATATTGAAATCTGGATGTCTGAACTAGAAGGACATCTGGCATCAGAAGACTTCGGTAAAGACTTGACTAGTGTCAATAATCTGTTAAAGAAACATTCTTTATTGGAAGCGGATGTTGTCGCTCACAAGGTATGATGATAATGTTTTTGTTTTGTTTTATGCAAAGTTTTTTAATGCAATTTGTGAAATAAAAAATGCTGCAATAAAAAAATTCACCATTTGTGCACAATTACAATGCTTAAATCAAATGTGCAGTTTTAAATCTATCCAACTAGCCAGGCCTGTCAAAATAGCTTTTCATTCTCTTCCTTCATCACTACCATGGTTACGTAGATAATTTACACAGTAAATGTGATAATGTTACAAAATGGGACATTATTCGAAGAGATATTAGATTTTAATGGCCATAAGGTCAATTCAGGCGAATGTAAATCATTCATCATGTCTTATTTATCATAAAATGTTCTGATGTGTTTTCCATATCTAAATGGTTTGTAAGCTCATGTCAGCAACAAATTTCGTTTCTGTTATAGGATCGTGTTGATGGAGTAAAGCTGCAGGCTAATCAATTCTCTGAAGCTGGTCATTTTGATAAAGACACCATCAAAGTCAAAGAAGAGTCCCTTGTCAAACGTTACGACACCTTACAGGTGGGTACCATGGCAACTTGCTGAGAAATTAATGTAATGTATTGAGCCCAAGCAATAATGAATAATGCATTATTGTCTGACGTAGCCATGTCGGTCGGTCGGTCGGTCTGTCTGTCTGTCTGTTCGTCCGTCCGTCCGTCCATGGCGGTTTTGTTGTTGCTGTGTTAACTCAAAATTTAGGGAAATACAAAATAAAAATACTTTTGTTTTGTGACAGATGACAAAAATTAACATTAGTGTTCAAAGAGATAAGACTCTTGTGTGACTTTGAACTTGAATGATGTATGGCTCATAATGCCATGAATTTACAATAATGACATTGTGTATTATTAAATGGATTCTAATAATAAATTGACACAGAATGACTTTTTAATGTATCTCCCCCTCCCCATCAACTATATAGGTGTTCTCAAGATGGGCATATATAATTAATTTTAGGGGGGGAAAAGAGGGTCAGGTAGAGTTGCAATTAGAGGTGGAGGTACATTTGAAAGTCTTTTCCATGACTCTCGTACTAACCTAAAATTGTATCTTTTACTCACATTTATAAAATTTAATCCAGATATAAAAAAAGTATGAACTGACAGATTGGTTGACGGAGCCAATTTTGTTTCATTTGCGGCTCTTGTTCTTTTCTTTAGTTATAATTGTGCAAAACTAATGTTGGTTATTAAACTGAAATATTTATCGTATTTGATGAATAAAAAAAATCATCTTTAATAGAAGTACACATAAACGAAAAAAATTGTTATTTTATGCTGGAATTTTACAATGTGACTAATTCTAACCATGGTCAAACCATTTTAATATGCGAGTATATGCGCGCTACTAATAGAGATAATATGGTTATTAAAAATAACAAAATGACGAATGTTTTTCAGTGATTAAATGTGATCAGGATACAAAATCCTGCTCACTTTGTACTCAATTAATTACTAATTTATTTTCCTAGTCTGGTTTACAGGGGCTGTGTAAATGCTAAAGTTGTGTATATTACTGTAAAATACTTTATTATTGCTTATTTTGCTGAAGCGATGATTCAGTAGAAACAAATTCCAGCCAATATACCCTTTTTCCTATAACATACATTCAACTCATCCAAAACAAATGAAAATAAACTTCATACAATGTACAAAACACCCAAAAAAAACCTCAGCGAAAATGAATTCCAATTACAATAAAGTATTTTACAGTACTAATCTTTTTTTGACAAAATAACTTAAATAAATCCTGCTTGCTTTTGCTCACTGTTCTGTTACTTTTACTCCAACTCGTCAACAGCTGCAATTCTGCTCTTTCTGCCTGTGGGTTGAGAAGCTATCTTTTGCTGAGATGCAGATTATTTTGCAAAACATCTTCAATTAATTGAGATGTTTAACTTTTGAGTTGAAAGCTTTAAATGTGCTTAATTTGTGAAAGTGAAAATGGTGTATGCCTTGTATCTCTGTAGGAATGTGGTAATGTTATGGTGAGTCAAGTCGGCTTCCCCACAGGATGCAATATGTCAGGAATTTACTTTTATACTTTTCTCTTTCCACTAACTTCTATTATTTTACTTCCTCAAAGTCGAAACGAAGAATTCACACTTTATCGTTCTCTGAAATGTTTCTCTGCACTCATTTCGCACGTCTAAAATTTGCACTCTATTGCATTGTGGGTCAATTCATGATCCCATTTAAGAACAAAACAAATGGAGGATGAATTATTGTGGAAAGTTTGTTCAACTTTTAAATGTTAATACTGATCCGCATCTCTCATACTATATTAGAAATACTCATGTTTACATTTTTTCACTAGATGTAATATTTGATATTTTGTTTATTTTTGAAGTTGCATTCCCACTTTGCAAATCTATGAGGTACCTTTCCCTGACCATATATACCAACATGTACACCAACAAATGTTAAGATGAGTAATAAATATTTTTGTTGCCATGGGGGAAAACAGAGGTTTTAATCTGAAAAAAAAAACTTTTGTCTGATATTGTTTGTAATTGAGCCTGGCAAAGTTTGGGGATTGTGACAAAGCTCCGTCTTTGAGAATGAGAAATTAAGTGCAGAATATGAATTTCAATTGGCCTCCTAAGATACATTCCTAAACAATATGGCATTCACTGAGTTTAAATTGGAGGTCAATTTCACATTGAAAGTACCCTGGTTTGTAAGTTGGTAATGTTGGATAAGGACTTCCAAAATGAAATGTGTGAAAAGGTCACAGAAGGAATATTTTACTTCCACAGTGAAAACTACCAGGGTTTTGTTATTGATATCAATCTGGATGTTGTAAGATCAGAACAACAGATTACTTACTTTGTTTCAAATGATTGAGTACCTGCAAACTTTTGTCTACATTCTTAGACGTTCTTACATTATATCTATGTGTAAATATGTCAGTACTGTAGACAGTCTGTCGATAATCAACAATATTTTGAAGAAAAGTAGGTAATCAGTTCATCCAGTACCATATTCCTGGTAATGACACAATCTTGGTGGTTTTCAAAGTAGTGTTTCATGGTTTTTTTTAAGCTAAAACATAATTGTTTACACATTTTATGTTTTAATCTTGTCCTGTGTTGTATTTGCAAAGTAGGAATGCATCTTCAGTAATGACTTCATGTTTTGTTTACCCATTGTATGTATTAGATCAATGGCTTTATATATTATTATGTGCATAATGACATTCTTTTTAATCACCGTAATGATTTATTAGTTTTCATTAATCATATGCAAATTAAGAAAAAATCCAGGGGCCATTGATAATTAAAGCAGGCATGAAAGCTGAGTAATCTCTTCAATTTACAGTGATCCCTTCTCCTTCACACATGCACACCCTAAGTGACAGTTTGGAAAAAATGGAACGAACATTAAAAACAACTGAGCAATTGAAATCACTTTGGATTTTCCCCTCCTTCCCTAAACAAAAAGTTTACTGTGCATATGTTTTAATTAACCACTGCCCCTTTAAAGAAAGTGCCCTCAGTTTAATTCATAAACTACGTAATATGTTGTGAGTTGTTAAAAACTAATTTCATTTGGTTTAGAAATGTACACATTAATAAGTTATTGATGTTAAAAATAATGTAGCAACTTGCGCAAGTATTTTGAATCAAGCTGTAAATGAAGTTTCAGTAAATTATTAAGTAAGAAACATTCCTGGTTCAAAGGTTGCAAAGTAGATGCCAAATACCATTATGTTGAATACCATTACTCGCATAAACTATTGTAAATAAATTATTTTCACTCAGAATTTATTTTACCTGTTTTTGCTGAAGGGACGTTCAGTGAAAATAAAATCCAAAAAATATACCTTTTTCCCATATTTTACTTTCAACTTGTCAGAAATCATTGAAAATAAATTGCATTCAAAACATACAAAAAGTCTTTCAGCAAAAAATTAATTCAAGCTAAAATAAAGTATTTTACAGTATGTATAAGCCATTGGTGGGTCTTGCATTAGCCTGCATATGAAGCAAGTTCTGACAAAAAAATGAAAAGGAAATGTCAACATATACTGTGTATTGCGTGAGCGTACGAAGAGTACTAAAATCGGGATCCCCTCTAATATTTAGATTTCGGGAAAACCGAATTTTGGGTTAATGCAATCCATGTGTTTGTATCTGTTAAAACTCATCTTAGTCGTTTCCATTTTTATACAGCATATAGTGATCGTCATTGTGAACCAAGAATTCATCTTGTCTCTATCCGTGTATACAAGCATGTTCTATTTCACATCTTGAATCTATGGTCTAATGCAGCACGGTTGCCCACCTTCATAAATACAATTGTATCTTTCACCTGTCAGTTAGAAAAATATTAATAACTTGATTTACAAAGAGATTTGTTTCTTTCGTTCGATGGACTAGTTTCGTCATATTTCGAGGTAGTGTGAAATTGCTGCTTTAGACAAAACCAGAGTAAATATTACTGTACTAACTTTCTGTTTCATTTTGCTGCTGTGTAACATTCAGATGGCAATATTATCACCATATAAATTATTGTATCACAGGTGTTAATACTCCACTTTACTTAAGTTGATATTTGAAAACGTATTGCATTTTATTTAAATGTTTCAAATCTTTTTTTCGTCTCCATCAAACTGATAACAGCAAAGTTAAAACATATTTCATTCACATTTGTAGGGTCCGCTGGCTGCTCGCAAACAAAAGCTGAACGACTCGGTCGCCTTGCATCAACTTTTCCGTGACATTGAGGATGAGGAAGCATGGATCCGAGAGAAAGAGCCAATCGCCTCGTCCGCTAACCGCGGACGTGATTTGATCGGTGTTCAGAACCTGCTGAAGAAACACCAAGCGTTGCAAGCAGAGTTGACCGGTCATGATAGTCGTATCAAAGCAGTCTGTCAAACTGGTCATGACATGGTGAACAATGGTAGGTATTATAAAATGGTAGACATAAACTTGGACGTGCATGTGCCAGTGTCTCATTAATTAATTATGCCATAGCCCCCTTATTATGCCTGGTTACTGTAATAATTGCCTAAATATAGTATTATCTGTTTATGGCATTGAAATGCCCTTGTATGGCATTATAATGTCATGTGGTTTTGAAATGTCCCTACATGGCAATATGTTGTCCTTATATGGCATAATATAATGTGGTTTTAAAATGTCCCTACATGGCAATATGTTGTCCTTATATGGCATTATAATATCATGTGGTTTTAAAATGTCCCTACATGGTAATGTGTTGACCTTTTATGGTAATGTGTTGTCCTTTTATGGTAATGTGTTGTCCTTTTATGGTAATGTGTTGTCCTTTTATGGTAATGTGTTGTCCTTTTATGGTAATGTGTTGTCCTTATTTGGCACTACAATATATCCTTTTATGGCATTATGTCATGTGGTTTTGAAATGTCCCTACATGGCAATGTGTTGTCCTTATATGGCATTATAATATCATGTGGTTTTAAAATGTCCCTTTTATGGTAATGTGTTGTCCTTTTATGGTAATGTGTTGTCCTTATTTGGCAATGTGTTGTCCTTATTTGGCATTACAATATATCCTTTTATGGCATCATGTCATGTGGTTTTGAAATGTCCCTACATGGCAATGTGTTGTCCTTTTATGGTAATGTAATATCCATATATGGCTTCCAATTTAGGTCACTTTGCATCAGATGATATACAGCTAAAGATTCTTGGACTTCAAGACAAATGGCAACAACTCAAAGTAAGTCAATCCTTAATAACATCACTTTGTTGGTTCTGATAATTTCATAAGGTTATTAGTCAAAAGTTTGCTAAGATGATAAAAAATAACATTTGTTCTCATTGACCCGAATTGTTTATTTGTCCAGCAGCTTTGAACAAAATAATTTTGAAATAAAATGTTGGAATTCTAACTTGTGAATTTATTTGCAGGACAAAGCATACCAGCGTAAACAAGACTTGGATGACTCTCTACAAGCTCATCAATACTTTGCGGACGCTAATGAAGCCGAGTCTTGGATGAAAGAAAAAGAACCAATAGCCGGAAGTGAAGACTACGGAAAGGATGAAGATGCTGCAGAGGTATGACAACTTTACCTACATGTTGCTTTATTATGGATTAGTCCCATTTGTTTTATCACGATGGGTCAAACCATTCATAGAATATGGGGGTCAAACCCTACTGCATATTATGAGGGTGAAAGAGTTACCATGCAAATTCAATAAACAGTTCGGAATAGGACTAACTGTGGTATTTTGTGATCGAGTGATGCTTGTATTGATTATTGTACGAAGCATTGCTACTTGTATGTAGTAAACGTCTTTTGCAAGATAGAGTCATAGCTGCATTTCCGGACATTGTCAACCAACAATCTGTGTATGTCTTAGTGAATAAATTTTATAAATTAACGTCACTATAATTACAGACAGTGTGTGCTCTACCTGAGCTCAGCAACTTATTTATGCCGTACTGGACATTAATTCTAAATTAATTTGCAATGTCTTTATTTTTAGTCTCTATTGAAGAAGCATGAAGCCCTGATGTCTGATTTGGTTGCCTACAGCACCAGTATTGATGCACTACAACACCAAGCACAAGAATGCAGAGTGAGTTGTATTTCATTTTATCAGCCTTTGACACACAATTTTTTTCTCAACTAGCCAGTGGCTACCAAAAAGTAAAAAAAAATAGTAGCCCTGTGACGTTTTTGGGACTACTTTATTGCATGCGTCTGAATACATACTTTTGTAATGGTGTTATATGTCACCTGATCACCCGAGTGTATGGATATGTAAAAAATAGTGCTGTTGGTGTAACTGAAAATGGCGGAATAAACAAGAAGTTATACTTGAAAGCTCTCTGGTTTCTTTGATGTTTCGTGTGTAACAAACCTAAACTAATTTTTACTTGCCAGTACAAACAATTTAATAATTTTCAGCCACATTGGCATTCATTTTAGTCTAGAGCCAGTTATTCTACCATATTGTGGATTTCAAGTTTTCAAATCATTTTATTATTCTGCATAAATGACAATACTTAATGCGTGGGTGAATTGTATCAAAAAATGCATGATGCAATGCAAGTTCTCAGTGGAAAAACAAGTGTAGTTCAGCTCTCACAAAATGATAATTAAAAAAAGATTTCATTCTTTCTTCATTATCTTCTATTTTGCCACAAAACAATCCTGTTTGGATGTCACGGTCATTGTCAATAAACAAATCAACACCGCCTTATACTCGCAGCTTCTATAACTGAAGTATGCCCTCACAGTGAATAATACTCATAAGAACCCTGCATCTCGATAACTCAAATTATTTTATTTTTCAGCAACAAGAAGCTCCTATTGGGGATGATTATGGCAAGGAGTGTGTACTAGCTCTGTATGATTACGTTGAGAAGAGTCCTCGTGAAGTGTCCATGAAGAAAGGTGATGTTCTCACCCTTCTGAACAGTGCAAATAAGGTATGTATGACCACCCTCAGATGAAATGGTTTAACCCTGGCATTGTTCATATAGAATGTTCCATTTTTACTTTGGGTATAACTAGCATGTCTGCATAAGGAGGGGTTAAAATGATAAATGAAATTTGTCTATTTGTTTTGTTTTTGCAAGTCCTTACAAGAAAACTAGAAAATGTAAAAAAAAATATTTCACTGATATTTTAAATATGTTGAAGCTGAACTTTGAAAGAAGCGTCTGATTGGATAACTCACCCTAACTGGTAATGACCTTCGAAGGGAGATTTAAATTAGTCTTATATTGCATGCCTTTAAACCTTTGTCTGATTTTATAGTATTCTGCCACAAATTGCAATGTTGTTTTTTTTAATTTATTTTACCGATTTAGACCAGAGACATTTAAGTTTTTTTTTCTTGATTTGTTGATTGCTTTTCCAGTTTGTAAAGCCTGGCCAAATTGGCGACCCTCATGTAAGTTTTTTACCAAGTGGTGTTCTCTGGAATGAGGTGCATTGTGGGTAACTAGGTGTACTCTGGAATGAGGTGGTTGGTGGTGTCTTGTAGTAACACAGTTGCATTTCTAATAAACAAAATTGGTTTGTTTTGATTGGGGTTTTGACAAAAGCACTGAATTCACATGTAGCAGTAATCACAATTAATTGCCTGGTCTTCTTGCCGTAAAACCCACAGCTGTTAAGGCTAACTCAGATAGAAAGACTTTTCTGATAATTTTGCACAATTGTCAATATTTATCCAGTATTTTCCATTATTGTTTATATGTCTTGGTTTAGTTATTCATGACAAAAACTGAAAAAAGAAATCTATGGACGAAATGCTAAAAAATTTATATGCTGCAAAAAAAGACGAAAGCAACCTATCACTGAGAAGTTTACTAGTTGCCAAAGTCAATGAAACAGTCTGCTGGATTGGTTGATTTTCTTCATTGGATTGAAGTGGTTGGCTGTTCAGTCTGCAGAGATGCAAAGCAGTGTGTTTGACCAAGCTGAATGGAAAGCATATGAAGTTATTTACTAATTTGGCATGAGAAGCATGTGTAGTCAGTAGTTGCAGAAATCTGTTTTTTTTCAAAATGGATGGGTTGAGGTTGTTAAAATTTACTTAATGTTACAAATCTTGCTGAAACAGAAATAAAAACCTTTTTTTCAAAACACAATGGCCAGGGCTGAACAACTTTGAGATTTATTTTACACTCATTTATGAATAAAGATATTGGTTACATTTGTTCAGCTTGTTATCAGTTAAAATTATTGTTGATGTCAGGCTAAAATGTTCAGTTTTAACTGAGATAGCCCAATTTAACATACAGGCAGGGTGGGCAGTATGGTATAGGTGTAGGCCCGGTGTACAAGTCATGTAGATTGGATTGACTATTAAGTGAGGCAAAATATTTCCACATTCTGTCACTCAGTAGGGTAATTGTGCATGGTATTTGATTTTAGGATTGGTGGAAGGTTGAAGTAAACGATCGTCAAGGATTCGTACCTGCCGCTTACGTCAAGAAGCTTGACTCTGTACAGTCAGCGTCCCAGGGTAATCTGACCGACGAGGTCAATAGCATCGCCTCCAGACAGAGACAGATTGAAGATCAGTAAGTTTTTTTCGTGAAATGGACTTGCAGGTCTCAGTTGTTACGAGTGTTGATGCAATGGCGTTCACTTTGTTGTTACCTCAAAAGAGTAACAAAATTATTAAAAATCGATACATGACCTTTTGACGTCACATAGGTTAAGTTTGAAATTGAAATTGTTTATTGGGCTCTGAAATAAAAATGACAAATAATCTCACTTTCATTTCATTCAGATATGCTCATCTCTTGGAGGTGGCCAGTGAGAGAAAGCGACGCTTGGAGGAATCTTGCAAGCGTCATATGCTCATCCGTGAGGCAGGCGAGTTGATGGTATGGATCAATGACAAGGAAGCCATTGCATCCTCCGAGGAAGTCGGTGATGATCTAGAACATGTTGAAGTTCTGCAGAAGAAGTTCAATGACTTCCAGAAAGATCTGAAAGCTAACGAGGCCAGGCTAACCGAGATCAACGAGATTTCTAGAATCCTTCAGGAGGATGGTAGTCCAGAAGCACAGATCGTGGTTTCTCGTATTGGGGTAAGTGGCTTTTATATATCTAGACCTACTAATTTTTTTAAGGGCTACATGTTATATTAAAATATTCAAGGTCAAATTCCTTGTACTACGCTGTATACCAGAAGAATGTAGTTTTCTAATAGACCAGGAACCAATGATATAGCTATGATTTGTGAAAGAAATCAGTGTTTGAAGGATAAGTGTTTTTTTTCTCAGGATTTGAACTCTCGTTGGACCGAGTTGGAGCAACGAACTGAAGAACGTTCCACAAGTCTCGGCAGTGCACACGAAGTACAAAGATTTTTCAGGTAAATGTCTCCTTAAAGTGATAGAAATTCAGAAAAGCTTTCAATAACTGTGTCTAGTTTGTTGCTGTAATTTAAACTTACTCCATGCATGTAACATATAACAACATAGTAGCTATTTCTCTGTTTATTTTTTGGGGAAAAAAAGACTTTTAAATGGGATCAAGTACATTTTTTTTCTCATTACAGAGATGCAGATGAAACTAAAGACTGGATAAACGAGAAGGACAATGCACTGAATACTGATAACTATGGGCATGATCTACACAGTGTACAAGCATTGCAGCGTAAACATCAAGGATTGGAGCGTGATCTTGCAGCCCTTGGTGACAAGGTAAGTATCATCTGTGATAAGATGATATTTTTATCAAAATTTCGTTCGCAAAATTTTATAAAAATCATAAAATGTTTGTGAAATATTTACATAAACTTTACTGAATCACTTTTACAGATTACTTTTTAAGGTCAACTTCATTAATTCAATTCTAAATGTTGATATATGCTCGTTTCTCAGGTACATCAATTGGATGAGATGGCCGATCGGTTAACTCATAGTCATCCAGAGGCGGCAGATAGCGTCATTGAGAAGAGAAAAGATATTGATGACGCCTTTGTCAATCTCAAGAAACGGGTGAGATTCCATTTTGTTACTTAATTAAATAAGTAAACTGATAACATCAATAGTACGGATAATTTTTTCTGAATTACAATACAGGTAATATATATGTATATTGTTTCTTGTTGTGTTTAATATATTCTGCTTTGTTTTAATTGGTTAGGCCGCTGCACGTAAAGCTAAGTTGGATGACTCGTATGATCTGCAGAGATATTTGAGTGACTATCGTGACTTGATGACCTGGATTAACAGTATCATGGTTTTAGTCAATTCTGATGAACTAGCAAAAGATGTCACTGGCGCTGAAGCTTTGCTTGAAAGACACCAGGTGAACTAAAATAATCTCATTCAGTATCCAACAGCGTACAAAGATGTAATGTCAACTTGTCGATTGCATGAGAGACATAGACGTGTTGTGTCGTATTGTGATGAATAATTGCATGAAAGAAGAAAACATTAAATTTTGTAACAATAAAAATTTGATTGGAGTCTTTATCATCCAATCCATAAATTTAATGTGAAGACATAAGTTAAGGTAAGAGTATACATGTGATAATATCATTGAATTTATAATATGTCGTTGCAGGAGCTGCGATCAGAAATTGAGGCCCGTGCTGGAAACTTCCAGGCATTTGAGACATTTGGCCAACAACTGATTCGCAACGATCACTATGCCAGTCCAGAGATACAGGATAAGCTGAACCAGTTGAATAATGAACGAGAGCAATTAGACATGTGAGTATTTTTATGTTTAAATAGTATCATCATAATCAGAGT